CTATGGAAAAGACTTTTTTTTTTTTTTTTTTTTTTTTTTTTCCGGTAAGTCTTAGAAGGATCCTTGCATTTGAATGGACTTTTCTAAACCATTCTTCCTGGTCTGGCCTGGCCCTTCCGTCCAGCCCTGGGATTCTCACTCTCATGCTGTGGGGCTAAACAGCTCCCCAGTGCTACAGGCTTGCTGGCTGTACCCTGTGGTTTGTGTTTTGCTATTCACTGTGGATCTTGGCTACCATATAAAATTAGAACTACCTATGAGGTGAATTACTCGCTTCTACAGCTGAGCAGAAACCATGTTGACTTGATTTACTGTTTTCTATTTTGTCTATTGATTTTTGGGTAGTCCCAAGAGTGTGCTCCCATAAAAGGCCATATAGAACTTTGTACTTCGTTTAACAATTTTATTTATAAAGGGTGTTCTTGCCTCCCTGTCCCTTTGCTAAATTACTGCAGGCATGAAGAACTACACTTAATTTCTGTGATTAATAGAGCACAAAATATATATGTTACACAACTCTGTCCCTGCTTTGTTATTTGAGGTGACAAAATTGCAGTATGCTGCCTGGGAACAGCTACAAAGTGTGAGAATTCCCACCTGACAGATCTTGGCTGTTAAAAGGCAAAAAGAACACAGATGGTTGAAACCAGATTTCTGTATAAAATGAGCAATCAGTTTTCACCTGTATATCTAAGCAGGTAAGTTTTTTGCAGGTACCAGTACAAAAGTAGGTCTCTGAAAATGCATCTGAGAGAAATGTGTTTCAGATGTTTCAACCACTGACAAGCAATACCACACCCAGAGCTCACAACTGCTATACGGGGAGGACAATGTAAGGAAGGATGCTATGGACTCCGATTTTATAGGGTGCTATTACCTTTTGAAAGGCAGATACTGAAAATGGATAGGCTCTCAAGCGAACAATCAATAATTCCTCCCTCTATCCCATCACTTACACTTAGACCTACTGTGTTTAGAGGGCAAGCAGAGCATATTTTGAGGATAGCATTGTTATCCCCAGCATATTTTATGGGGTACTATCATGCTCCCCATCATAACAGGAAGAAAATCTCAGAACTTATTAGCAAGCCTTAGAATCACCAAACTTTCTTGCTTTGTGCATTCCTCATTAGTGGTAACTCAAATCCCAGAACTGTTTCTGCACTCAAAGAAGAGTGGGACTTTATTTATCTCTCCCACTACTGAGTAATCTATTCCTCTTTCCTCGTGTTGGCCTTGGAAACCTAGGTGATCTTTTGTAAATCTCAAGGAAGCTCAGGTGAACTTTTGTAAATACGTCTTAGGGACATTAATGCCTGGTCTTCTAATGCTCCTGGCATTTCCCAACAGCAGTCTGTTTGTCTTCTAAACAGCAGATTACCTGTTCTTGCAGTCAACCCTGTACTCCTGCAGATGAGCTAAAACCTAATTCCACACAGAGCTCCCAGCCAAAGAAGAGGACACTGTTCTCTTTCACTCATTGTGAAAGAAGTCCTATGATCTTTTGGACTTAAATTAAATTTTACCCATGCATTATCTTTCCCTTGTCCTGTTAGACAATTTTCTCAGTTTTATGGAAGGGCCCCAGAATCCATGCTCCTTCTGCTGTTTCTGCCTGTAGTTTATAAAGATCTATGAACATAAGTTAATTATCAGTAGCAAGACATGCAGGTGAAAGTCTAAAACTGGGAAGGATGTTCTCATCATACCTCAATGTGCCAGAATTCAGAGAGATGAATTCTGAGCAGGTTTTCTTTTCTCCAGAAGAGAGTGGAGGGCAATTGAGGCCTGGGCCATAAGCCAGGTGGGCGTCCAGTGTGTTTCACACACAAAACTGTGGCAGAAATGTTTGAAAAGTTTAAGATGAGGAAGATGGCTTGAGAAAGTACCTGGGGTAATGAACTGATGCTTTTTCTTCATTAAGCTTCCCAGGGATACAACAGAGGTAAGCTTTTGGTGGAGATTAAAGAAGGGAGAGACAGAGAGCAAATTTCCCTCCAGATCCATAAGTCTAGTGTTCTGATGACTTTAAGTGAAATAGCCTTACCTATAAGAAAAACAATTATTGCTCAGTAAAATACTTTTAATTGTTCTTTCTGGTTTAATACTGCATATAAAACAAAAGCAAATCTGAGAGAAAATATTTTTGTGAATGATTTGCTGTTATATGTCTTTGTCTGACTTCCCAAGCACTAGGTACAGAGAATGAGATGCCTTATATTTCAAACCTGGTGCAGTTCTAGGATATGAGTCCTCTCCTTCCATGGAAGCTGAGGCATTGCATATAAAACAGGTCAGCTGAATCGCCTCTAGCCATTGGCTACAACACAGGATCAGACAACTCTAATCATAATGCGAACACTTCCACTGGATGTGAATCTTGGTGTTAGGGTCCAATTTTCAGAAATAATTTCACCTCACTTGCAAGTGTTTAGCATTCACAAAAGCTGAACTAATCAAATTAGTCTATCTGGAAAGACATGGACGACGTCAAATCGCCAAATGAAGCAAGAAGACACACATTTTCTATAATGTCTGATTTACTTTAAAAAAGACTATATTTATTGCGTGATTTGATTGTTCAGACAAACGTACTACAGGCTCCCTTAAAAAGCAAAGAATTGGATAGTTCCAGGCTAACTGGAAATGAAACATTTTCAGTGCACTGACTTGTTATCAAGATGAGAGGAAATAAGGAAGAAAAATGTAATCTCTAATCCAGGGAAAAGGCAAACTTAATCTACAAGCTGTACGTAAACAGACTGAGTGTTGGCATTGTGGAAAACTAAGACATAAAGCAGAAAACTAAGAGGATTTGAGCAAAGAAAATTAGAATACTGAGTCAAAGAACACCTCTGATCTAGTATTTATGCCTGTCCTTGAAGATTATGTCTCAAACTTTATATCTTATCAGTTTGACAAGAGCAAGATATAACTACACAACTTCTTTGAACATAAAGTTCAAACAAGTGGGAGATCTCCCATTCCCTGCTTTCTTTCCACTTCAATCATTAAAATGTACTTACTGCACTATTCCCTTGATAAGCTTTATTTGAAGCTAGTACGATACTTTTCCAGTTTCATGTTGTGATTTTCTGTAATGACATCTCCTGCCTTTTTAGTAGTAAAATGCAAAATTATCTTTCAAAAAGGTCCTATCCCTCAAAATGTCCAACACAGTTGTTTGCTGCCTCATGCCTACAGTGCGCTCCATGCAAGCAGTGTGTATGCAAGAACAGAGTGATGGATCTGGAGTTCACATCGATGTCTTTTGAAGTTTGTACCATTAATGCCACATCCACCATTGCCCTGGTATTCATGGGTCTGATGTCACACATAGAGAAGAGGTGATCAGCACACCCTAGAGAATGACAGTAGAATCTCAGATATTGACAAAGTTAAAAATTGTCAGGTGATTAGCCACCCCTGAGCTCGGTTCTGGCACAGATAGTTTAAATCTGGCTTGGTTGTGTCTACCTAACACTGAAGGGCAGGGATACTCATTGAAACCTTTCTGCCTTTCACAACAGGTGTGCTAATAATTATTTTTAAGGTGTCACAGTTTGAGAGCCTGTAGAGTCTAAGAAGTGTCTCCTCTGGTTAATGTTCAGTGTCCTGGTGACACAAGGTAAACACTACCTTCCTTAAATGACTATCAAGGAAAGGGAATGGGCAGCACTACAGGTGAGTGCCTTTGATATAGAGGCACAGATCCTGTACATACAAAGAAATGTGGTCCATTTTCCCTCAATTTAAGGAAAGGTATACTAGAAAGGGAATCTGCACAGAAGTGAGGGAATACAGTTCCCACTGTTACTATCACAATCTTCTCAAGAAGGCTTTCCAGAAACAATTCATGCCATCTATTTTTATTACCAACTGCAGTGAAGCTAATAGCTTGCAATAGGCACATTTTGACAGTGGGTGGAAGGCCTAAACTCTGTGATATTCAGGCTGCAGTGTCTGCTAGAACAGCTTTTACACACTCTGTGCCTAATTCTGTTGCAATTAAACTTCACTTTACCATAGTAATGGGCCTTCAACTGGGAACAGAGCAATTCATATCTCTTTGCACAGTGCAAGGTAAAGGAAGATTTGTGTGAATAACAATCTGCTCACATACACCCTAACTGAACACAACTGAAAAAGAAAGCAGACATTTCTTGAAACAAGTGGTTATTTGCTGTTCTCTGCCTAAGGTATTTGTATGCTGTTTTTTTTTGTTGTTGTTGTTTTTTTTTTTTTAGCTGAAAAGCAGAAAAGGATGATGTCAGTGGCTTTTATCCCTATTTTTTGTTTATTTTTAGAAGTGTACCAACAAATAACCGTGACCTAAATTCTACAAGACAGAAGTGCACACAAGCACATTGTTAAATATCAGAATCTATTTGAGTTCAGGCAATTTCAGCAGAACTGTACACATACATCTTCCTTAAAAGCAGACTACAAAAACCTAATTCACCAATACAGTGAAAATGAACAGTAAGGTCTAGTATTTAAGGCAGATAGTAAATTCAGCTTTTTAACTTCTTTGTGTTCATATAAGGATAATGTGAATATATCATTAAAATTGAGACAAATCTGTCAAAGGTGAAAATCTAACTGCACTTTGAGAGAGGATCAGTTTTATACTGTCATTAAAGTGAAGCTGGAATCTGGATGGAACAAGCCTCAAACTGGGCATGTGCAGATCTTGCTGCCTTCTGTATTTAAATGGAAGCGGCTGCTGCTGGCCTTTGCTAATCTGAAGATGGAGTGAAGCAATCTGAAGTTCCAGTGAGAAACTCTGCACTGGATCTTGCATTATTCCAGAGAATCTGAAAATCAGCTTTACGCACACAAAAAGGTAAATTGGTTGACTTAAATTTAGAGGAGAGCTTTTCTTTCTTTTCTTAGATTTTGTGCACTTGGATAATCAGACCATTTAAACAGGGATCTCTTCTCCCTCTGAGGACCTCAACAGCACCAAAACTGTGGAGTTCTTCAATGCATGGAATGATTTGGAAGCCAATGCCTACAGACTGATGGACCTGCCTCTTCGAGCCCCAACAGTAAGTGTTTTCTGTCACTTAAAGCTGTAGCAAGTAGTTCTGCTGGGAAAACTGGCGTTTATAGAACTGTAAATGGACATTTAAGGTGCATGTACACATTTAATGCTGTAATGCCATAATGAACATAATGAAAACTTTAAAATCTTCTTTTTATTCCTTTAAATATTTATTTACTGCAGAAAGGACAGTAGAAACAGTGCTCTCCAGCACAGTTACATGGGTAGAAGATAGGGAGGAATGTGTAAATGCAAAGTGCAACAAATATGTTGCAAACTAACAAAACAACCTGTTATTGTGCATTAAACAGATGTTTAGCAGTTCAAATGCAATGCTCTCTTGTGTTATTATTCAAGATGGAAATCCCCATCATTTCTGTAATTGTTTGTTAGCACAGAGGAGTGCTTATGTAAATGTTAAAGAGTTGTTATCTGTAGTTACCCAAGAGAGCTGTTCAGAAGGTTTTCAGAGGTAAGTTCTGTCAACGCTCTTTCTCAGTTGTTAAATACTAAACAGAAAGAAAATTTCCTTAGAAGTGTGAGGGTGAGAATCTGGAATGGATGGAACTTCTTTGGGCACACTAAAAACATTATCCATCCAACCCCACAAGCCCAAACCAAAGGAGTTCACCTCTTCCTGGTTGTGTATCTCAGTATACTTGTTAGGACTGCAAAGTTTTGTTCACCCGCTGCTTATACAAAAGCCTGTTTAAAAGTAAAGAATAAAAAAAAAATACACAAGCTAATTTTTAAAGTTTTAAAAATCTTGATGTAGTCACACCAGGTATTTTGCCATGGCCCACATAGCACACTGGATGCTTAAAAGCTGTGTGCAAGTTTCAAACACTTCAAAAGTTTTTACATATATAGGATGTTGGATTGGGTGTTTCAGTTTGATCCTGATTTCTAATGAAGGGCCAGTAAATATTTTATTATTTGCATAGTAAAAATGCAGTCTGCTTATTTTTTTATTAAAACCTGGATATGCACAGCGTAGTAATAGAGAAGTGTCCTGAGCCAAGGCGCTTACAAAGTAAATTAGATGGATAACATATGAAAGAGGATAGGAGAACATAGCAGGGAGGGAGGAGAGGGGCTGGAGAGCACAGGGAAAAATGGGAAATGATGCTGGGGAGAGAGTGATTTACATCGGAAAATTAAAAATGGATTTTTTCCTTTTTCTGCTGAAAGATGTAATTATCTGTCCGTCTCCTCTCCCTAGGTCAAGTGACTGTATTTTCAAACTTTTGCATTTTAATTTGACACAAAGATTAGTTTAAGACAGTTCCAGGACTGAAAGCAATATATGCTGCTTGTGGTTGAGATTAAATCTGGAAGACAGGATAGAAAATCTGCTATCCAAATTGCTCAACAGGACAAACATCATCTATAAAAGCCCTGCTGCCTATTGGAAAGAAGGCTTAGCAGTTGGTATCACCCCGCTGAAACCATAATTGAGGTGGGATTATACTCCTCTTTATGCTGCCTGTCATCACAGAGTAAGTGCCTACAGAGGCAAGCTTGGAAATCAGAGCAAGGAACTGTGAAGAAAAATAAGTGGTATCAACTGTTTGAGGCCTCTTGTAGGCAGGCAGCGCAAACACTGTGCCTAGAAACCCCACGAAATTACAGTATTTCTGTTCTGATAATTTTTCTAAACTATATGATTTGTTGTAATGTGAAAGGCTTAACATTACCATTGGTTGGGTAAGTCATACTGTGTAAATAAGCAGCTTCATTACCTGTGTTTGTAGGAAAATTAAGAACAAAGAAACCTGATACATTGCCAAAGTCAATGTGGGACTGCCAAAACTTGCCATGTTTTGGAACTGGGCTCTATTCCATTAAAACATTCTACAAAACCAATCACTACAGTTTGAAGCTAGATGAATTCATGAAAGCAACAACATACCAGTCCCTGTTTCCCTTTCCTTGTCTTGTTTTACACCAAATTGGATACAATCCATCTGATGTCCAGGCAGAAGTAGCTGAAAAGTGTTCTTGTCCTAGTCTTTTCTGTTCCTGGCTTTTGAAACAATGTCACAGAAATCAACCAATCAGAACCAGCACTGAAATACGCTCAAATCCCCAAATGACCTTATGAGGATTTATTCTTTCCCTGTAAGTATAAACTAAACCTTGCTTTATCCTCTGCCATTGGGAGAAAGTAAGGAGTGGGCTATATCAAATATGATTTATATTCAGTAGAAGTATTTACACGCGTGGCCTTGCTCCTACCATCATCACTATTCAATGTCTCCAAGTGAACAGTAATTAATTGATATGATTTTTTTCTTACTCTGAAAAAAAACCCAGGTTTTTTCCTCAATAATAGTTGAACTGTATTCTTCATGTGTTGTCCCTTTTTTCACTTATATACGAATATTTTTCTTATGCTATGGGCAGGGAGGGAGAAGGCTGGACTTACAAAAATGGTATGTCTTTTACTAGAAATTCAAAGGAGAGCTGGTTTGATTTGGTTTGGGGTTTTTTTAATCATTTATTATTTATGAAATAACTATTTAGAAAACCTTCTCTGTAGGAAAATGTGTATAATAAACAGATTCCCAAGACAGAAGAGATGCAGGCATCATGTATTCCTGGGCTTTATGTCTGATCTAGACTTCCTTCTAACCTGGGCAAATCACTTAGGAATCGCGGTTTTGTCCTGGACTGCAAAATTCCTTTATCCTTTTAACTCTCTTCAGACCAGTGTCTTGCAGGGTCTTGACAAACTTCATGGTGAAATACAAGTTCTGCCCTACACTGATGTTCTCTGTGGCTGATTAATTTTCACCCGTTCCCTGATTGCACCAAACTTCAGCAGAAGGCACTGAAAACCTGGTCAGTTATGTTTTAGCTGTTTCGTTGTAGGCAGTAGACAACCATTCCTTCAGGGAGAACAATGAGCATTTTAAGAAGGCAGACTGCATCAAACCTAGCTACTTCCCTCTATTCTAGTGTTTCCACAAGGATGCACCTAAACGTGCTGGAGGGAAATACACTAACGTAGAGCAACTTCGTAACTTCTTGACACTGATTCTATTGAGGCAAAAGATAGTGTAGGATTTAGAAAAGGATTACACCTATATATGTAGGATAAAAATATCCTCCTCTAAGATTATTCTTTCAAAGAGATAATAACTCTATTTTAGGGTACAAACCAACTGCTAAGACTCTGCACTGAAAATTAAATTCCCCCGTCGCTGTTCATAATGCATGTTTCGGAGCTCTGTGAAACACTCAGCCATGCCTAAAGGTCGGCTGGTGTTTTGTCAGGAATACTAATCTGACACAGTGTGGCACTTCTCAAGTTCCTTTTATCACACCAAAATTATCCACCTGATTCTGCAAAACTATACTGTAAATAAATAATAAATAATAAATTACATGCCTATCAGAGATTAAAAACACAAATTCCTTTATAATTCTAGCAAAAGGCCAGTTTTCATACACACCCAAACAATATTATAAAACCTGCTTTTAAGGTTGACTTAAATGCTGTCCTTGGCTAGAGGATGTATTCTCCAACTGACCCTCAGTACTTACTGTGAAGGAATTTTGTTACATTGCAGTCACTACTTTGACGTCCTCCACAGTATCCATGATAATTTTATTTGCTTGCTTGAGAAATATGCACTATTTATATTCACTGACTGTCAGGAAGTTGGTACTTCCCAATTAATTGTTTCCTACAGAATTAATACCCATCTAAACCACCTACAGCACGGTAAGCCTGTGGGCGTACTGGTACCCAGTGGTCCAGAGACTCAGGTACAAGCATCTTTTATTTGTTGACTCAGGAAAGCTGTAGTCCATTGTCCATTCACTGGAAAATGTCCAACCTCTTAGCTTCCAGTTCAATTTCTTTGTGCAGTTGGCAATGTTTTGAACCATGTATTGTGTTGTCATATCACTTGGAAGAGAAATAATGACATACTGGTTTTGCCTGTTCATTTTCCTTATCTTCATTACGAGGTGTTTATAGAGTGAAGGATGAACAGAAAAACATGCAAGGCAACAATGCTATGTATTATCAAGGCAATTGAAGTAGTTGTTCAGAGTATTCTCAAAGGACAATTGCTACAGTGGGGATTGCAACAGTGGGATTTTTATTCTCCTTTGCCAACTGAGTACTCATACTGTGGGGTAACAAACAGACTAAATAAGACTAATCTGAAGAAACTGAATAGAGAAAAGCTTTGGGAATTATCTGATTTCTTGATTATCCTGCTGACCCGATTTCCTCAAGCACTATCTTTTTCTCCCTGTCCTTTCTTTTGACGTACAATTCCCTTAGAAGATCTAGAGCTGAACTTGATATAGGCACCTGTTTTCATCTCCTAGTAAGGAAGCCGTATGTATGCAACTCAGGGATGAATTTGAAGTGCTTAGGCCTGATCTAATGCCTTGCTGGTCACCTAGTACCCTTCTTAGACTTAAAGAAGCTTTGAATTAGACCTTTATTTCCAATAAAAACAGTAAAATTACTTTTTTTAATAACTGACTTTTTCCTCTTGGAAAACAGTCAGAGTTGAACACTGTGGTTAAAATCCCAGGCCTACAAGAAGTCCCCACTAAAATGTGAATTTCTTTATTTGCCGCAGACATTTTCTTTGCCCATATATTTAGTGTTTATGTCCTATCACCGCTCCAATAGAAATATCATTCCTTTGTTTTTTCACACTTGACATTTTTATTGACTGTGAACTTATTTCATTCCCAAATAAGTAATTTTAAAGTCTTCTACTGTCCCTTAAATAACCTTTCCTCTCTCGTGATTTCTCTGTGTATTTATATTTATCTTTATCTTTTAATTTTTACCCTTGTCCTTAGTCTTACACAAATTTAATTCAAAATAAAGCCATTTTAATCTGTTCTTTGTAGCCAAAACAAGCTCCTTTAGTTGCTTCATTTCTGGTACCGTGATCCAGTTCTGATTAAATGGATAGACACAGGGAAAAACATCAGAAATCTCCATTCAATTAATAATCATCATTAACTCTCTGTAGAACAGCAATTAAAAATGTTCTAGCCACAAGGCTAAGGAGGAGAAAAAAAAAAATCAAAGAACATCTGATCTCATTTATTTGAATCAGTTTTAGCTCAAGATTCTCCCTCTCCACTTGCTATTAGTATGGGATTTTTCTGTTATTTTACTGGCAGTGTGTTAAGCACAGCGATTTCTACCTAGGGAAGAAGCCCATTGATGATGATGATGTGACGCCAACTTACACTTTGCTGCAGGAACCTGAACAATAATTGCCACGATACTGTCATTCAGTTTGTGTATCAACTGTAACATTTTCCTCCAATTACAATAACAGCCAGAGATACATTTTCTCCCTCTAAGATCCGAGTATTTGTCCAGCATTTCATTGCTGCTAATGTAGAAACTCAGGGAGTGCACTCTAGATGTTGAGGATTGCTGCAGGCAGATCTTCAGCACACAAAGACAATATCTCCCAGAATTTGAGACACTCCTGGGGTTCACCTCTTGCTACTGGCACATTGGTTTTAAATACACACTGTCTCTAATAACTTTAGATTCTGAATACATCTCGCAGATGTATTCAGAAGTCATGTCTGCCTCTGTTGCCTGAAAATACCCATTTCCTTTGATAACTGGGGTGTTGTCAAAGGCATTTCTGAGTCGCACTCTAATGGTGAATCCCAACTACTAACACAACTGTAGCATAAAAGGGAGAACTTCATATCTACCTCTGAGCACCTTCCTCCTTTCCTACCAGTAACCTTCCTTTTCCTGGGCAGGAATGAACGCGTATGACAGCTGTACCACCATCTGCCAGTACTCGTGATTGGAAAGAACATATCCAGCCTCATAGCACTATTTAAGCTTGGTACAGGCACAGACCTCGGTACAGGCAATTCCCTTGTCCTGGATCCTAGGCCACAGCCACATTGACATTACTCACAGTAGGCAGGCTACAAACAATTCAAAATATTTTCTGGACTTTTCTCAACCCTGGTATGTTCTCATATCTTGGTAGCTGAGGAATGCCATGGCTGCAGCTTGCAGGCTTGAGCTATGAGCAGTGCTCGTGGCATGCTATTCCAGGGTGAGTACTGCCCTTAATGAGAAGAGCCAGGCTATGAAAAAGAGACAGGTTCTGTCCATGCAGATGAAAGAGGACAGGGCTTGGTATTCTTCATGGCTACGTTAGATGGTTGGAGCTGATGCCAAGACACATTTAGGACAGTGGCAGTTGTACAGAGGTGAGTGCTTAAGTCTCCTTGCCTGACCTTACATCAAAAGGCAGCAGGACAGTGATGGTTTGGACAGCTGTTCTTTTCTCCTCTTCAATTTCTGTCAGGTCATCCTGTTTCCTGGGTCCACCCTTATTGTTTGCTTCATTACTAATCTGGGGTCACTAGGCCTAAAATGTGTTTGTGGCTCCTGATACTCAACTAAAAAATGTTTTTAAATTAATATTTAAAATGCAGTAGTCTTCAGACTTGGCTACTGAATTTTGCTATGAGTTATTTGTTGATTAAGACACAAATGCTTTCATCAAGTGCTTTATCACATAATTCACAGAGAACAAAGTACCTTCATTCAGTGCTGAGTGAACACATAACTAGTATGGAAACCAGTGATAAGGTATAAAGGATTTGTGTTTTACTTTTTCTGATCTTTAGTTTAGTTTCCAAAAGACGCTTGTTCAGTGCTGGCAGGCTTTTGGTAACCAAGCCTTAAGGGCAGCTTGCAATTCAGTATTATTCAGTGGGAGAAAAGAAATAACCATACTACTAAAGGAATAAATGCATGTTTACCCATAGAAGATAATTTCTACTTAGTTAGTGAAATCTAGCCAGTGATGTCAGAGGTCAACAGAAATCATACTTCACAAGTACAGTAACTTTCCTGAAATAAACACTACAGAAAACTTACTTGTTAAGTACTGCATTACTTGAGGTAAGATGCAATAAAAAGGGTCCCTTCCTGTCTCTCTTTTTCTCCTCTATATCTTTATGTGAGAGAGACTATGTTGCTTTTCTTCACCAAAATTCTAAATCAACAGTAAACATATCAACTGCACTTTGACCTTTACACTGCTGATGCATGTTTATCCCCTGAAGAGGATCAACCGTAAAGGTAATTTGAAAACAATTAGCTTATTCTCAATTTTTTTGCTTGGTGTCTTTTTGCATTCTTGACCATTTCTTCTTCTAGAGAAGCACATGTGAGCTTATTCAGTAAAGTCTGACAATATACCTATGACCTCTTGTTTACTCCACAGAAGATGGCAGTGCAAGATGTTCCTGGTGCCTTTCCTACAGTGGATGTCCCAGACCATGCCCATTATACAATTGGAGTAGTCATTCTTATAGTGGGGATCACAGGAACTCTGGGTAATTTCCTGGTCATCTATGCTTTCTGCAGGTATCTTTCTTTTGGATGTTTTATTAAATACTCAAATTTATGAACTTTAACTGGACCTCAACTGTGTTCTGCAAATGCAGCGCAGGCATACTATCAGACTAGTATGCAGACATAGTAAAATGCACTGAGACATTGCTGTAGGAAAAAGGTGGCAACTTGCCATTTCCCTCTGATTTCTTCCCATTAACCATAGCCATAGCAAACTTGTTAGCAAAATTGCAAAGAAACACCCAGATATGCCAGGCAATAGCAGCCAAAGCAGAAATCTTCCAGTGAATTTTTTTCTACTGGCTGAACTGTGTCTGCACTGGACTAATGGGATGTTTTCCACCTGTGTCTCTCACATATCTTCTCTACTTTAGATGTTTCCTTCCTCCTGCTGCTTTCAGTTTCTTTTCCCCCCTGTTCCTTTACTGTCCATGTCTCCTGTTTTCACATTTTCTAACGCTTGACTTATTTCTTTCTAAAGCCACATTCCAAATTTTCTATCTGAAGGAAACTGGATCTCTGATAACAATGTGATATTTTCACCAATCCTGTTCACTAATCCTGTTTGTGTTTGTCACACTGGGGCAGAGCATTGGCACCATGTTCAGGCCAGTGAGCTTCTGCTTAATGATTGGTCTTTAAGGATACCGATAGAAAAGTAACAAGTACACCAGAAGTATGGAGAACACATCAGATGCCTACAAAGCAATCTCAAGTAATGGCAAACTGTAAGACTGCCAGCTGCCTGAAACAGAAATATGTTCAGTAACTCTGCAGACTACTGAACAAATACAAGTGGCCCATAAGCATCTACTAATAGTATCTCTTTGCTCCTAAATTGACAGATAGAGAACAGTAGTCCTAGTAATTTATTCTGGATCAGTGCAAAGAACTCATTATTTATTCTGGTATTTTTACAATTTTGTCTAAGAGTAAAAATTTGAGAAACCAGCTAAAAAGCTACACTGAGCCCCCAACTGAGGAGCTCTCAGTTCAGTTTTTACGTATACCCTTTAAAATACTGTACTCTAATACTATGAATAACATATACAGGCAGGATACACTGAAGGCTGGCTCCTGGTCTCTGTAAAGTCAGTGTCTGGGCCAGTGAAATGAGTGTCATAGAGAAGAATTGGTGTAAAACAAAATGCTTTATGTGGTAGATAGTGAGTTTGCTTAATCCCTGTATTTGGAAGTCACTGTTGATCTTATCAGCACTGGAAAATGAGCTCCCCTCCCCCTGCTTAACACAACCCAGATCCAGCAAATCCATAGAGTACATCAACTTGAATTTCCTGTTAATCATGGACATGCAGTGCACTGGGTCAGAATATGTAAAGAACACCATGATTTATCCCTATCACTGAGCTGGTTATCAAAACAATCATTTAAAGTACACAGGAATATAAAGATGTAAAACTGAGCCTTGCTTATGTTCTCCCATGAGGGAAATGAGAAGCACTCCGCTCTAGTTTCCTGTGTAGTGTGCCTTGGTATTTGTGAAGCTGCCAAGGCTCACAGGAGAGAGTAACAACATAATTAACAGTGCAGCAGTGTTTAGCAACGTTCCTTCTGATCTTTGTAGGAGTAGGAGCCTTCGGACTCCAGCCAACATATTCACCATCAATCTAGCTATTAGTGACTTCCTGATGTCCATTACACAGTCTCCAGTTTTTTTCACCAACAGCCTCCACAAACGCTGGATTTTTGGTGAGAAAGGTTTGTATATATTCTTTCTAAAATATCACTAAGTATGTTCTTACCATAGTGGCGGTTAATATTATTTCCTTATCCTCAGGTACACTTGCAATGTTGAGAACATTTCTCATCATTGTTTCAATGTTGACATAAATGTTTCTTTGAACATTTTTGTCTGCATGCAACAAATACATTCCTACCATGGAGAGGAAAATTACTTATATGAGATAGCTACAAAGGTGACATTGGTAACATAAGGTGCAGGACTAGTTGTGTTGCCAGCATTCTTCCCCAGTCATCTCATAACTTAGCCACTGGCAGAGTCCTATGACAAAGAAGCACCACCCCTCAACACACCACCTTAAAAGCTCTTCTAAATAACCTGCTCTGGGACTTGCACCTGGCAAAGTGAGGCAAGAAAGTCTGGCCAAAGTGAGTTTTCACAACAATAATATTTACTGAACATTTCCTGTGAAGTAAGAAAATGTGACATGCTTTCATTCCTCCTATATAACTGTAGTAAGAGGAAGACTAGTCTTTGCCTCTTGAACAGGTACTGAGAGCAGTAAGGTCAGAGAAGTAAAGTTGCTCATGACTAAAAGAACATTTTTTTTTAGTTTCATTAAGCGTTGAATTGCATACATGTTAAAATAAAACAAAACAAAACAAAACAACCCCCTGCTCTTAATCATTATGTTGTTTGAATAATTAAGATAACTCATTAATATATTCATAGTATGCATATTTACTTCAGTTATGCTGACCTCGGGATATAAATGATTGCATGATATCAAAGTAGCTATAACCCACTGTTAAGCAAAACAGCTGTTTCTACAGGAGCTGCAGTAAAACTGTAGTTAAACAAGATATTAATGGACTGCTGAAATGATCCCACTAGAAACATCGGAAATCAATGAGAGAAAATATGTTAAGTATCACTGTCTCCAGCAATTAAAGCAAATAAAATCTTTGAAGTTTATCTCTATGTAATATTGTAATTAGCAAGACAGGAAGCAGCTTTGAAATAGCATTATAACTGCAGGAAAACTGAAGTTCCGTTGCTTTACAAATTCCAGAAGACATTAGTTCACAAGAAACACAGACTTGAACTCTCCCAGAAATTAATTAGCATGGGTAGATTAATTTCACTGCTACTTCTGTCATCTTCATTGAAAGGCTGTGAGCTGTATGCCTTCTGTGGAGCTCTTTTTGGCATTACATCTATGATCACTTTGATGGTGATTGCCTTGGACAGATATTTTGTCATCACAAAACCCCTGGCTTCAGTTGGAGTGACGTCTAAGAAGAAGGCACTAATAATCCTGGTAGGAGTCTGGCTGTACTCTTTGGCTTGGAGCCTCCCACCCTTCTTTGGATGGAGTAAGTTAAATGGAATAAAAGGTTTTTTTCCTTCATAGCATTGGATTAAAGACCAGTTACGGGTATAGAAGACCAGTTACGGGTATAGAAGAGGGTTGAATTAAGGGCTTGCACATTAGGCTTGAATAAATCAAGCTGAAGACAACTCATAAAATACATACGAAACTGAAGATCTCTAATCAAAAGAAAAAAAAATCCAGCGTATATTACGGCATATTACATGCCAATGGCACTCTTCCTTAAGGTCATTACTTACTGAATAAATAACAGTAGATAAAATCAAGTCCATAAAAGATGCTCCTGCTTATTATTATTACTTCTGTTGAGCCAAATTCAACAATATAAAAGTAAAATAAATGTATTCATGTATTTTCTGATAATTTTTCTCCTCCTCAAAGGTGCTGTGTAAGATAGTCAAGTCAATCTAAATTTCTTTGTTCATATAAAAGAGGAATACAGTCTGAGTATTTTGTGCAAGTACAACTTCAGTAAGTCTTGACTGTGTTATAGATGGGCAAATTGCACTAGGTGTTGGTCGCTTGCTCCATTCAGCCATTGGTATCTTCACTAAGGCTTCCAATAAGGATGGCATTTAGTAATAATTAATTGCTTTTGTGAATGTGAATTTTCTGCCTGAAAATTGGAACACACATACAGCATCTTGATCCTTGCAAATTGTAACAAAGAGTTTGTTATTCAGCCTCATTTGAATCTGTGAGTTCTGTTTGAATTCCTATGAGTCACCAGTTGCAGTCAGTAAGTTAGAATAAACTCATCATTCAAACCCCCAGTCCATTATTGTGCTCCCTAATTCCAGAAGAGAATGTGTCAGCTCAGCTGAGGTGAGAATAGAGCAAAGTTTGATTTTACCAAAGGACACTGCAACCAACTCAGTTACTGAGTTTAATGTTAGCAGATTTTTGTTATTGTCTTTTTACTGTCATTCTGGTCCCCCCATAAACATGAAGCATGTTTAAGCAGGCAAACTGCAATACTGGGACAAGCAGCCTTTACTTGAATGAGGAGCTGCTTGAGCAACAAAATTACAACATAGTCTTAGATTCTAGATTGTTAATTGGAGAAGGTGGGATAATTGCTTGAAGGGAGTTGTTACCTTGTAATTAGATTCTAATATTATCCAGAGTACTAACTCTCATATGGTAATTAGATACATCTGCGCACATCTGGTGAATATTTTTAAGAGTACAACAGAAAATATCACTGTAAACAGTGAAAATTAAAATACAAAGGTCAAAAGATAACAATTAAAAAGTTAACAATTTCTTTACTTAATAGTTTGACAGTTCCTTTAAGGAGATTGTATTCTATGTCAGGCAGAATATTATACATGTATTATTTTTTTCACTTGTACCCAACTTCATAGAATCATAGAATCATAGAATCATAGAATCATAGAATGGTTTGGGTTGGAAAGGACCTTAAAGATCATGAAGTTCCAACCCCCCTGCCATGGGCAGGGACACCCTCCACTAGACCAGGTTGCTCAAAGCCTCATCCAGCCTGGCCTTGAACACCTCCAGGGATGGAGCATCCACAGCTGCTCTGGACAACCTGTTCCAGTGTCTCACCACCCTCACAGTGAAAAATTTCTTCCTAATGTCTAGTCTAAATCTATCCTCTTTTCAGCTTCACAACAACATTAATTGATCTGCACAACAATTCTCTCTGTTTTCCAGAGTAAATTTATCTTATCTGCACAAGCTTAAAAAGTGGTAGCTGTAATCATCAGTTTAATTTCACTCCTCGGGAAGACAGCAGTTTGAAAGGAAATTGAGATATTTAAAAGCAATACGGGTCTGATCCAAGACCAGCTTAAGTACTTGGAGAGATGTCCTTTGACTATGTTGAGCTTTAAACAATACTCAAGACCTGAAACAAAAGTATTCAGTTTTACAATCTGAAGCCTTAGACTGCTAACCATGAATACAATAGGGCAACACAGTAAAAGAAAAAAAAAAAAAGAATCGTGTATCCTTTTAAACTCTTTTCCCCTGTAATGCAATAGGACTAAATCCCATGCTATTC